ACAATGAATTTGAATTATGGTGTTGGAGAAGAATATTAGAAGTACCATGAACTACCAGAAGAAAAAAACAAATCTGTCTTGGAAGTACAGCTGGAATGCTCCTTAGAGTTCCGCATGGCAAGACTTTGTCTCTCATACTTTTGGGCATATTATCAGGAGGAACCAGTCTCAGGAGAAGGACATCATGCTTGGTAAAGTGGAGGCTCAGTGACAAAGTGGAAGACCTTCAATGAGAGGAATTGACACATTGGCAGCAGCAATGGACTTAACCATTGTGAGGATGACTCACGACCTGCTTGTGTACTGAGCCTTGTTGTGCATAGGATCACTATGAGTCAGAGCTGAATCAGTAGCACCTAACCACAACAGATTCACTTTTTCCTCTCTGTCCTATCAATGTCTGTAAAATATTCATAAGTAAATCAGAATCCTCTGTGCTAACTCACAGAATGGTTGAGCCAACTCTGCAACCTTAACTTTTTCTGTTTTTTCATAATTTTAAGTTATTAGGAAATATTTGCATATCTGCAGATTGTTACTTCAAGAAAGAGTTAGTGAAGTTAAATACTAATGTTTTTGTTAAGTGTTGTCAAGTTGGTTCAGACCCATAGTGACCTGTATAGGATTTCCAAGAAGTAACTGGTGAGTGTGAACTGACCTTGCAGTTCAAACCAACCTTGTTGTCAAGTGCTTATCTTGTTTGATTTTTTAAATTAGATACACATTACTTTAATATAAAACATTTCAATTTCATGTCAAAATACTGCTATTATGCAATCAGCAAATTGCAACTTTTTTGCCCATTGGAGTTAGCTCCTTTGCCCTAGAACTTTACCCAACAAAATTTACCAGGAATTGGAAACAGAGTGCATGCTTTTAATTTTCACTTAAGCCTGAAGGTAAGAGTCTTTAGATGACATATTCTCAAATTTAAACGTTATGCCCTTAGAGGAAATCCTGCACCTAGTATCTAAACTGAAGAACCTAGAGAATTAATTAATGTAAACGAGTCAAAGTATAAAAATCATTTAAAGAGAACTAGATCCAAGGTTATCTGAAGCAGCCGTGAGTGCTATTTATAGCTTTCTATTGATTTTCAACTTAGTTTTTCAATTGTATCATAGTAAAGAATTAAAGAAATATTTTCAATCACCTCATATGCATGTGAAACTTGGACAATATATAAACAAGACCATGGAAGAATCGATGCATTTGAATTATGGTATTGGCGAAGATTATTGAAAGTACCATAGACTGCCAGAACAAACAAATCTATTTTGGAAGAAGCACAGCCAGGATGCTTCTCAGAAGCCAGGATGGCAGTTTTTGTCTCTTCTTTGGACATGTCAGTAGAGATCAATCTCTGAGGGACATCATGTGGGACATAAAGTGGAGGATCATCAAATAAGAGGAAGAGCCCCAACAAGATGGATTGACTCAGTAACAGCCACACTGGGCTCAAACGTAACAATTGTGAGGATACCACAGGACCAGGCTGTTTGGTTCTGTTGTGTATGGGATCCCTATGAATCAGAAGGGACTCAACACTACCTAACAGCAACGATAGTTCAAAATTCTCTTACTGAGACCTGAATTGAAACATAAAGAG